GATTTTTTCAAAACCAAGTAGGCATGGTGTTAAAGGGTGGGGGAAAAGAGAAATAAAAAGATGAATAAAACCTAATCTATGCCCAGGAGGAGGTAGGAGAGCGAATAACAGAGAGCTCAGAGGGGAAGGAGCTAGGCTGCAGGGGGCAGGTGCCTTTGACCTGACTTGGAACGTGCCCCAGGGTATGGGGCTCTGTTTGGAATTCCAACTATTACAAGTTGTGTGACCTTAAAGAAGTTACTTAAATCCTGGAAACCTCCATTTCTTAAACCATAAAATGGAAATAATTATTTGTTTGCTTTCTTAACAGCCAACTGCCTCTTCTTTCTTCCTAGAGAACCCCGATTGTTGTTTTGTAAGCTACCCTCCCTCTCCTGTATATCAGATGAGGTGGGCCTGGCCACAAGCCCTGCTTGCAGGGACCGAAGCAGGTGGAGCCCACTGGCGGCTGCCTTGCTGGTGATGATGTGGGTGTGGGCGTAAGATCTGGGTGGGGGGCAAGGGGGTGGAGATGTGAGGGGAAGCCTGCTCCAGGGTCTCTGGTAAAGTCCTCCCCTATCATGAATATACATATTATATACATAAGACAAAGCTCTTTTGTCTGCCCTGGGACATGCGCCAGGATATGGAAGTGTGGCAATATCTTAAAACCATCATGGTTGCCAATTTGAGGATAAGGCCAACACGAAGGGCAGAGAGGAAAGCTAGAAATAACCTGGATCCTTGGTGACTTCATTCAGTCACTGTACAACCACCTCTGGAGTTCTTGTTAAGTGAGGAAATGAATTTCTTAATGCTCAAGCCAGTGGAATCAGGGTTTTCTGTTTGTAGCCAAAAACATCCTAAATGATTTGTTACCTGATAGATTTGTGTGGAATAAATGAGACAATGCCTATAAAGCGTTTAGCACTGTGAAATGTTAACAGTTATCATTAATAGGACACTTTATTATGGAATTATATATGGCTCTCTTCTTTACTAATATGTGTCATATTTCTTCAAATATGTATGAGAACATTTTTGGCCAGAACTCAAGCTTCTGCTTCTTTGGCACCCAACTCAGCAGTCGAGAAAAATGCATGGTAGATATTTAATATCTATTTCATAATTTATATATATTCACACATATACATGTATGTGAATATGTGTGTGTGTGTATGTGTGTGTGTATTTCCCCCTAAATGTAACTATGATGGGCAATCTAACCCAGAGGCCCTTGTGAGTTGGGTGGAGACTGTGTCCCCAAGAAAAATGTTTTATTTTGCCACTGAAAGTGAATCCAAGACAATCTAATCTTAGTTTGAAAAGGGGGAAAATGCAGACCTTGCTCAACCTGGAAGGTGCCAGAATCCCAGGCTCTCGGGACTGGAAAGCCCCAGAAACCATCTGGTCCACCTTCCTCATTTCACAGCTGAGGCTCAGAGGCTCATGGTCACCCAGCTAGAGGACCTGGGACACAGCCTCCACACTCCAGCCTCAGTCCCTTTGCTTCATTTGTCATTTCTCCTTGACTTTCTCCTGAGTCATCTTCCCTCCCAACCTGAGTTAGAGGCTGGGCTGCCGGGAATCGGTGGGAATCTGTGCACCCACTTCCTACCAAGGTCGTCCTGCAGAGTGGCTGCCAGGGACCAGGTGGCCTGGCATGAGATCTGAGACTCGGTACCCTTTGTTGACTGCAAACATCATCCCTGAAGGGTCACTAGGGGCCAGGTGTTGGAAAGAGGCCTCTTCCTGTCCACACACTGATCAGCATCGGGCGTGGAGGGCCCATGACAAGGGCACCAAGGGGCTGCCCATCCAGGTCAATGCAAAGGAGAACGCAGCACCTATGGGCTGGGTGGCGCTCTCCATCCCAGGGGGAGATTTGGGAGCTCTTGAAAGACTTTTCTTCCAGTCTGTTCTAGGCTGGCTCTGCACATGGCCTACCCTCACCCTCGCCCATTCCGCACACCACATTCACAGCTTCATTCACACCCATTTCCATTCCTGGATGCTCCTAATTACTCTCTGTTCCCCATCTCCGAGTTGTTGGCCAGTGCAATAGAAATTTCATTACAAACCTTTACTCCGTCTTCAGAATTAACCACACTCTCCTCTATGTTCCCAGCATACTTGGTTTATTCCATCGTCATAGAACTTAATACAAGATGGCTTTAGTTGGGTCTTTTCTAGTAGATCAGTGCTTCTCAAACTTTCAATGCATACGGATCACCTGGAGATCTTGGTAAAGCAAAGATTTAGATTTGGTTGGTCTCGTGTGGGACCTGCGAGTCTGCATTTCTAACAATCTCCAAGTGACGCTGATCTAGGGGTCACACTTTCAGTAGCAAGACATTAATATAGGAGAGCAGCACAGGAACTATATAAATTACCTAAAGTCAGAGAGGCTGAAGTCGGGGGCCTGCTACATGCTGCCCGACATGAAACTCGCCTGACCAGAGATGCAAGCAGACCACACGGAGCCTTTGGGAGAAAGAAAATTCCTGCAAGATTGATTAATAGCCACTCACCCACACCTTATTGTTTACCCAAACCATGAAGGGGAAACAGACCACAAAATATACCTTGTAAGGCTTAAAGTTAATCCCAGTGCTTTTTTCGAGTCTCTGTTTCCCCATACCAACAATTTTCCATGCAAACATAGAAAAGCTCAACCGTGGAGGCGGCTGGGGCCTCTTCCTTCTCTTACACGGGGAGTCCACTACTCTCTCTGCAGAGCGGCTTTTCTTGCTTATCCTCTCTGCCCAGTAAACTTGCTTCCACTTGAACTTCTTGTCTGGCTCACGTCTTGAGTTCTTTCTTGCACACAGTCAAGAACCCTCTTGCCATGGGGCTCAGGTCTCCCAGAGAGACTTGCCCCTCTGGCATCGGTACTGCTTTTGAGTTGTTTGGGGACAGGTGCCCATGTCATACTCCTCTTTTTAATATTAGCTTACAGCATGATGTCTGGCTCATTGCAGGTGATTAATAATATACTTTTGTTGAAGTGGGTTAAGTTACTGGTGCTCCCTTTAAATGTGAGTATGTGATCTGGGCGTTAGTAGAAACCTCTTGTGGCTGGGGTGGCGGAAGGGGGTGGCGCAGGACTTGGGGCTCACAGGAAGGCACGACCAGTCCTGAGTTGGACCAAGACCTTGGCTTTACAGACCCAGAAACTCAATTTTATCAGTCTGTGTAGGTTCTAAAAGAACTGATTGACACTAATATATAAACCAGAAGGCCAATTTATTCATTAACTTTAGAGGACATGTCTTTCCAGTGACTGAATTACTTCCCCTACCAACCACCCAGGCTCCACCCCCGCCCTTTTCCCTGGATCAAAGCCGCTAGGGATAACTTAGCTCAGAACATTGACTCAGAACACAGATGACTAAATGAATTCATAGGAAAAATAAGGCAGTTAAAGGAAAAGCTTGAGAAATTGTCCCTTTTCCAAAACTATTTTAATTCTATAATAGAGGACTTATTTTCTCCCAACTAGTCTTTCTTCTTGGATAGTACTGGCTGAAGAAGACAGATAAATTCTGTGTTTCTGGACTCCGTATTGACCAGCCACTCCCCTTTCAGCCAACACATCCTTCTACTGGGAAGCCCAGCTTCGAAATAGCTGATTCGCTCACATCCTTTCCCAGCTGCATCTAATCCTGAGGATACATTCAAGTGGGCATTTTATGGCAGGTGGCGTGTGTGTGGCACCTAACTTACCTTAGGGTAGGATGCTTCTGCCGAGACCATTCCATTTATTTGATGCTGACCCTCCTTGTCCCCCAATCCTGGGACCCCCTCATTTGGCCTTTTCTCTTGACAATACCACTGGGGCATCGGGCAGAGTGGGACAGATCAAGGTCCAGCCAGCTGAGGGGCTGGCTGGGGAGCTCGGCTCTCAGCTTTGGCCTGCTTCCACCTTTGCCTCCTGCTGAGCTGGGGTTTTCTTGCATTTCTTGGGAACAGCCAGCTTGTGACTATCACAGTGTATACTTTGTTACCAACTAAGCCACTAACCACATGGCATCCTGTGAATCACTTCTTTCTGGACTTCAGTTTCAAATAGGCCCTACCGTCTCATTCAGCTCTACGATGAGCAACTTTAAGTCATTTATATTTATAACCTGCTTTAAATTCAACATTTTATGGAATCCCACAATTCCACATTGACCTGTGAGGAGAATGAGTCTTAAGATAATCACCTCGTTTTAAACACCCACCTAGCAACTGGCAACTAGGTCTCGAACACAGGTCAGACTCCTCATTTTCTTAATTGCTGACCAATAATGTCTTCTGGAGGCCAAACAAGGAGGATCATTTACTTATCCAGCTCCTTTGCTTTCCCCTGACCTTGCCTCTCCCATCTCAGGGTCTGGGCTACATTCACCCTCTTTGTCTTCTTTCTACTGAGTCATGGTCCGCCTCAGCCCTCTGTCTCTTTCTCCCTTTTACTATCCGTCCCTTCTTCTCCCTCCCCTGTTCCTTCCTCTCCCTCCCCTGTCCATCCCTCTCTTAGCCTCCTCCCTTCCCTACCCTCTCTTCTCCTGCATTCCAGTATCTCTTGGTCAACATTGCTGGGTTCTGCTTTTACAAAGGTGCTGCCGCACACTTCTGGGTGAACCTGTGGGTCAGTGAGAGCAGGGAGATGCTGCCCAGGTGTGGTCTAAGGACCCGGGTGGTGTTTCCTAATCTGGTGCAGTGGCTTCCAAGCATCAGATGAAGGATGGCCTACGCTGGCATCACTAGTGGTGGGAGACAGGTATGACTCCAAATGCAGATCCCTGGGTCCCAACCCAGAGACTTTATCTGTTTGGGTCAGGATGAAAACTTAGCACTCTGTATTTTTAAGAAGCTCTTCTGAGATGACTGCGAGGAGTGGCAGGGTATCTATGCCCCCCAGGGCTCTTTTTTTTTTTTGTGCTGGATAGGAACCCTTATTTATTTACCTTAGGGCAGGGAAAAAAGAGAGGAGAGGCAGGTGACAGGAAGAGATGGGACATCCCACTGCTCTGGTCTCAGATGGAGACCTCTACTGAAGCATCAAGGTGGACCAGCACGTAGGGGTTTCCCTCACAAGCCACAATGATCTGCCTCTCTTTCTGGCTGGTCCGGTGTGCACAGTTGGGGTACTTGGAACCATTCGTCAGGCGACAGTCCGTGATGTTCATGCTGGAGCTGTTCTTGTGACAGCTGGGCTGCCCATTCTTGCAGGTGATGTTTCCCTGGAGGCAAATGGCCTGGACATCCACCAAAGGCTCATGCACAAAAGTGTTCACCGGCTTGCACCTTCCCTCTGTCATTTTCCGGCGCCTCATCATTTGGTTGCAGTAGCTGGAGTTGGTGGGGTAGCCCTCTGGGTCCATGTGCTGCCGCTGAAACTTCATGGCCCGTGATTCCTTGCCCAGGGAAGGCTGGACCCACCCCAGCACCAACAGCACCAGGACTAGCAGTGGGAACAGGATGAGAGACTTCTGAGCCATGGTGGCCTCAGTCCCCTGGAGGAGCCTTTCAGCCTAGGCAGTTCAGTGGTCTCTTTGGTTTCACCCATTCTAGGAGAGTAGCACCAGTGCCTTCGTTCCTTATTGAAAGGTGAGTCGGTGGGTGGCCAAGTGTCCACAGTAGTGCCAGGAGGGCTGCCTCAGCTGGAAGCCTTGCTTGTAAGACACGGAACATTGGTTAGCGAGATTGCCGTCTGCTCCCTCCCCACCATAGGTGGGTACCCCATCAGTGGCATGTCTGGCTCAGCAGGGGGCGATCCTTGCTTCTGCCATATCTGGGCGAGCGGAGTCTTCTGATCTGCGTCCCTTCTGCTTTTGGTTATAGGTCCCCCAAACCAGACATGTGTCTCTTCCTTTCACCCCTTTAGATGACACTTCCTTCTCTTATGCTGTTGTCAGTCCTGTTATTGGCTGGGAAGGAATAAGAAGAGAACAGTTTTCACTCAGTTTTCTCTAGTAGAATATGAGTTTCCTAATCACTTAGTTTCCTAATTATATTAGATTCCTAATTAAATTAGTTACCTAATTAAATTAGATCCATAATTAGATTAGGCTCCTAATTAAATACCAGGACTTTTCCCACATGAGACCTCTGGGGAACACCCATGCAGAACTTGGTAGAATCTTTGAGGCCGTCCAGTCTACCCATGCCAATGAATCCTTTCAGTATTGCTGCAAGGTAAACAACCTTTGAAGATAAGCTCTGTGCTGCATCACTGAACTCTGCTGGGATCACACTCTGCCCTTGGTGGACACCATGTACCCTCAATGGGGACAATATCGTCTCCAAGAGGGTAAAAAAAAATTGTGATTTTAGGTATTAAATTTTCATGGGAGAAGGTGATAAAGGAACACATGTTGAAAAAGTTTCTTAGGCAGGGGAAAAGACTAGAAAAGGGTTGAGAAACACTGGTTTATGCAAAGGGGTCTGTGTCTCTGGCTGAGAAGTAAAGTTATGCCAAGTCATCCACATCCTTTCATTCTGCATTTCCTATGTCCAAGGCTGTAGGAGTAAAAGATCTACTTCTCCTCTAATTGCATAGCTCTGGTCATTTGTTCCACTCTTTTAGCTTTAGCTCTTAGCATTAGTGACCTTGTCTCATTTGTATGGATCTGTTCTGTCTTCATAACTATATTATAAAGTATTTTAGGATAGAGGCCATGTGTTCATTTGATAGTCCATGCATTTATTTGTACATTTATTCATTTATCCATCAAGCAGTCATTGAGCACCCCTAGGCATGGGGCTGGAGCCTAAAGAGACAATGCAGGATATGGTCTCCATCTTCAAAGACTTCCCAGTAAGGAAAGAATGTTGAAGCAGTATGACAGGGATAACCACAGAGATTGTATAAGATGCATAGAGAGGTAGCTTTCCTAGCTGGGAGGAGGCAGCGCTTGAGCTGAGTCTTGAAGGAGAAAGGAGTTTCCTAGATAAAGAATGTGGAACAGGAAGAACATTCCAGACCAAATCCAGATCAGCTTCTGAAATGCTTGGAGACAATGGTACAAGTGGGAAGGGACCAGAAATGAGGTCAGGCCACAGCAAAGGCACCTTCAAGCTTATTCCAAGGACATGGATTTTTATCCATAAAGCAATGGGATGCTGAGGGTATAAATCCCAGGGCAAGGACAGGAGGAGACTGATGGCCTGGCTCAGCAGACAGGCCAGAAGAAAAACTGGCAAATTCCTTCTTCCTCTGCCTTTTGTTCTATTCAGGCCCTCAACAGATCAGATGAAACTCACCCATTTTGGTGCAGCTAATCTACTTTACTAAATCCACCGATTCTAATGCAAATCCCATAGATTCTCCCAGAAATAACGTTTAATCTGGGCTTCTCAGGAGTGAACATTTTCCTGGCAATTCTCAAATAATTGGGTACCAGATAATGTTTACTTGTGGCTTTTAAGAATATTTACACCTGGGGGATGTATTTGTGCTTAGCGTTTGCGTGAGGTTATATGTGAGGATTCGCAAGGGAAATACGCTACATAGTGTGTTCTCTGTGCTTCCTCTGAGTTCTTTCTTACGTTCTGTGAATTTGGGAGGGAAGTGAGGAAGGTAAGACTGGCATCAAGAACAAGTGGGAGGAGAAGCAAGGGGGACCCATAGCATAGCCTCTGAGAAGGACAGATGCCCAGGCGTTGTGCTGGAGGATAAGCTGATACTGTTGTTTGGAAATGGTTGGATAGTTATCAGTGAACCAGAGCAGAATACCAGAACGGAAACCATGACACCCACCCCACCCTAAGTTTGGGTTTCCTCCAAAACCAGTTCCCTTCTGAGTGTGGATGCAGTGAGCTGGATAGAGGATATAAGTCAGCTACAGGAAGCTTTCTGCACTCTCTAGAGCCTCTTGCCTCTGCCTTCGGTCAGACCTGCCCTCAGTGCCATGGGAGGCTTCGAGGGTCATCTGTACCCAGGGCTGTCTCTCTTCTTCTATGGACTTTATCACGCACGACTCCTTTTCAGGGCCTTGATATGCAACCATCCTATTCAGTACGTGCCACGCCGTCCCTGGAGCAAAGGAAGATGGGCCAGGCTGCAGCAAATATACTATGTTGGGTTGGTGAAGATACTGAGCGCCTGCATCCTAGTAGCCCAAGAGCTGCACAGCGTTCCTGGGCATTTTGTACTCATCAGCAAGATATATCATCAGAGAAACTTTTTGTACCGCAAGCAGTGGCAGCATCTCACTATATACATGACCTTCTTCCTGAGCGGGTGTGTGGATGTGGTGAGCCAGAACCTGCTGCCCCAGAGATGCGCCGCTCTGGAGCAAGGTGCCCAAGCTCTGGGCATGTCTCTACTTTTGCTCCTGATGGTGTCTCACATGCAGGACTCAGAAGGAGTGGAGCTGCAGTCTCATGTCCTGCTCACCCAGGCCGTCTTCCTGCTGACGCTTGTGGTCATTGCAGAGCTGTTGGCTCCCAACATGCCCCAGCTCTGGCTGATGAAGGCCTTTCTGTATATGATGACAGGCACTTGGCTGATACAGATAGGCTTTATGCTGTACAAACCAATCTCGGGCTACAAATGGATGGATGATGACAAAAACGACATTATGTTTGTTACCACCTTCTTCTGCTGGCATGTGGCTTTCATTGCCATGTTCATGATCTGGATCTATGGCTTCTCCTTTTGGTGGTATTGTTACATTTGTTGATGTCTGAACCTGGGTGAGCCCAGTGTGGTTCCTGTCACCTGCATTTTCTGGAGCATGTGGTTGAGAAATTGGAAGGAAGTGGCCGCTGTCAGAGAGGAGGACCAGGCGTTCTTCCTTCAAAGGTCCCACCTGATGCAGCAGATTCTATGAGGACAGGGCGGCGTGCCCACCTCTCCCCTCTGGCCTCTCTCAGTCTCATCTGAGCAGTGTGCAGGGGAAGGGTGAATGACAGGCAGGAGGCATGTGACGATGACCTTCTGTCTCAGCTCCACAAGTCTTTCCCCTTTCTCCCCCCATTCTCCTCATTTCCAGCCAAGGCAGCCTGCTCACCCCGCTCCACTCTGCACGCCTCACTCCCCCCAGGAGAATGTAAAAATAAATGAGTCCTGCCTTTGGGTCTCCAGAAATACCCCTCACTCACTACACAGAATACCAGCCAGTCACATCTAGTACATCATAACACCTTACACACATCGTAATGACCGTCTCCTGATCCTTTCTCTTTCTGGGTCTCTTCAGTACTCAAACTAAGTCAGATCCGCCCGCTTGAGTACATTGAACTCTGAGAACTGTTGCTGAGCTCTTTGTTTTGATTACTTTATAACTTGTCAACAGGAAAGTGAGATCCCCTTTTTCAATTTTACTGAGGTGTACTTAATCCACCAAAAAATTGTACATATTTAGTGTATACATTTTGGTGAGTTTGGACCTATGTGGTACCACGATGCCATCACCATGATCCTCAACGGCAGCTTCCTCTGTGGGACCTACTAGAACAGAGGGGTGCCCTGCATGCTGTGGGGCTGAAAAGGGCTTGCCTGTTTCCAGAATTTCTTTTCTTTTTTTTTTTTTAAGATTTTTTAAAATTTATTTTTTTAAGAGAGAGGGGAAGGGAGGGAGAAAGTGAGGGAGAGAAACATCAATGTGCAGTTGCCTCTCGCCCACCTCTGACAGGGGGCCTGGCCCACAGCCCAGGCACGTGCCCTGACTGGGAATTGAACCGGTAACCTTTTGGTTCACAAGCCAGCACTCAATCCACTGAGCCACACCAGCCAGGGCTGCTTCCGGAATTTCTCTACCTCTGTTTCCTCCAATGGAGTCTATAAGATCTTCTGTCTGTGTAGACCAGACCATTGCTCTATACACACCTCAATCAATGTCCAAGTAGTAGACTCACTGGGACCCCCTTCTTTCTGGTTTGCATGAAGGATACAACCCAATAACATGTTTATTTCACATACTTTTTAATCCTACAACTACCCTATCAGATTGGTTTGTAGTTGGTAATCTAAAACTCAAAGAAACTGGCTTAAAGGTAGCTAATCATTTTGCTGTGTCACATAATGCTGTGGCTGGGTGTCAAAGAAGGTTAGAATTCTGAAGAGTGGAGGTGAATTATTGGGGGATTTCAAAACAATGTCTTTATGTCACCCATTCCCCTTCTCTCCCTGTGCCCCCAGTAGGTAGAGCACCTGTCAAGCTTCCTTCCTCCCAGGCATGTCAGGACTAAAATATCTCGGCTTAGGACTGAGTGAGGCTAGAGCAGGAGTTATAGTGGATCATCATCCTAGTTTCCCTTTTGCTTCTAGTTTCCAGGAAAACTAGATGAGTTTCTCTCTTCCTTGTTAATTTTTCTGCTTCAAAAGTTAAGGCGTAGCAGGAATGAATTATTGCATTGTTGTTAAGGGTCTCTACCCTCTGGTTTTGGGGGCTGGTGAGCATTCTGGGTTATGGCAAAGGCCATAGGTGCTTCCCAGTGTCATTTAGATGGGGTTCAGCGGTGTCTCAGCGGGGAGGCGGCATGCACGTGGCTCTCTGTGGAAGAGCCTCCA